TGTCAGCTCTACTATACACCTGGGAATTCTGATCGTTCACATAAACTTATAGGACCATTGTCTGCCAACCCTATATATGTTCTTGGATATACTCCCCATTTCATAGACATACCTAATTGTTTAGCCTGTCTACCCATCTATCCATCCATATACCCATGTTTGCCTTCACTGATAATGCAGTACTGTATGTGCAAAAGGGTTTGTATTTGTTGTCTGTACCTCCCATGTAGCTCTCGAGAATGATTATTCTTAATTGTTTTTCATTTTCTTTTTCTGAAAATGTTAATTCCTAGCCTGTTGTATATTTGGTTATGGCATGATCCATTTATGATGACCATCTTAATGCTCAATACTGATTATTTGGTCATTGATATACTTCATATGTTTACTTTCTCCTTTATTTTATAATATACAAAGTACCTTTTAGCTTAACATATTACTTTTTCTTACTTGATTCACTTTGCTCAGAACTGCCTGTCACCTTGCCTGACTTCTTCAAAGATGTCAAAAACAATTCAGATATAGGAGATGTTGAACTTTTCATTTCTTCTTCCCACAACTAGCATTGTATAGGGATTTTGGTCTTCTTGATGTACACCTAGTGGGTTTTAGTCTGGTCAGTGGTATGAAACATCATCACAGTCAACAGTCAGTAAAAATTAGCTAATTGAAGGTATTCAGCTCTATTACCATGAATTATTTTTCTTTTTGCATTTGAAAAGTTTGAGATTTAATTATGCTATACAATATGAAACAGTATGGCTGTAATTAAGGGACTTTTGCTTCCCATTTGCCCCCTAACTTTTACATCACCGCCCTTGCTTATCTTTAATATATCAGCTTTATAACTTATTTCTCTGACCCTAGTCAAGAGGTCTCAAACTGGTGACTCTGGATATATTTTCTTTGGCATACATTCGGTTTGAAAATTTTGGAATTAGTTGCCAACATATAAAAACTAGGGATTTCCAATTTTTCTAGAGATCTTTTTAGATTTCAGGTCCTATCATGTCTTTAACTATGTCAAATTATTCTATAGACCTACAGTATAGTTTTGTATGCCAAGCATATCTCTGCATATGTTTGGAATCACTTTGCCCTTCTTTTCTCAATGATGAAACTCTAATCTTTAACACACAGCTCTAAAACCCACCTCCTCATGCTCTGAAAAATCAGTTTATTCTCTAGGTAGGAATATTGTATATACCATGGACTGGTATATTCTGCTCCTTTCTCTATATTCTTGTAAAACATTTACCCTACATTTATTACAACATTTATCATACTGTGCTATCATTGCTTTCTTGTGTACATGTCTGTTCTATTAGACTGTGAGATATATGGGTTAGGGTCCACTTTATCCTGATATTCATAGTGCCTTCTATATTAGATACATAATAAATGTTTGTTAGGTTGGATTCTTTCTCTTTTCTTATCCTTTGTCATTTTGTTTTTCTCCTAGATAATCTGCTGGGAATCTCTTGGGTTGACAGTACCTGGATCCCCATTTTGAACAGCGGTAGTGTCCTGGATTACTTCTCAGAGAGAAGTAACCCTTTTTACGACAGGACATGTAACAATGAAGTGGTCAAAATGCAGAGACTAACCTTAGAACACTTAAAGTAAGTTGATTTAAGAAGGTAGCATCCTTGCCAATTAGCATTTTACAATAAGCAATTCAATTTGTTGATCATGAAATACAGAATAGAGCTTTTGGAAGAATACCTGAAGTTTTGTTTGGATTTATACAAAGATGACATGAGAGTTATTAGTAGTCACTTGCAACTTTGAGTCTTTTTCTATATAACTTCATGTATTACTGTCTGATTGAATATAACCATGAAGTAAAAATGTGTATCTGATGAGTGATTTTGGCAGTATAATTGTTAATCTCAGCCAGAAAACTATACTTTTTTTTTTAAATTGTGGTTTGGGTGAAAGTACACCGAGCAAATTGGTTTTCCATTCAACAATCCACACACATTCTATTTTGTGACATTTACTGCTATCCCCACGCTGTAACAACATTCTTCTCACCTCCTCCCTATGCCTACCTCTTCCCTTCATTCCTTCTTCTCATCTGTCCTATCTTCTTAGCTCTTCCTGGGCAAATGCTGTCCTCTTGATCTCATATGTTTGATTGTTGTAATGAGTGCATAATCTCCTGATATTACTGTTTACCCTATAGGTCTGTCTCTTGGCTGCCAGTTGAGTCACAGGGGTTAAGCTCAGTTCTTAGCTTAAAGGGTATCTAAGGGACATAATCTCAGGGGTTCCACGAGCCTTCATCAGACCAGTAAGCCTAGTCTTTTTTATGATTTTGAGTTTTGTTCCACATTTTCGCCCACTCTGTCTGGGACTTCTTACTGTGATTCCTTTCAGAGTGGGCAGCAGTGGTTTCTAGGCATATCTAGTTCCTCTGGTCTCCATCATGGAGGCTAGGGTTCACGTACTCCATTAGTCCTGTGGACTAGTTGATATAACTGTGCTTTTATTGTTGCTTCTACATCTAGTTTAATGTCTTTTAATATACTCTGAAGGAGCTCTCATGATGCCATGGCTGAGGCATTCATTTGCTAACCAGAAGGTCAGCAGTTTGAACTCAGTAGCTGCTCTGCAGGAGAAAGACAAGACAGTCTGCTTCCACAGAGATTTACAGCCTTGGAAACCCTACGGGGTCACTATGAGTTAGAATCGACTTGATGGCAGTGGGTGTGGTTTGGTTTGGTTTTTACTATAGTCTAGTTTATAGCAGCTTATTGTTTGAATAAAGAAAATTAAATTTTAGGCAAACAGTGCAAAGCAAGAATCTTCAGACTTAGGATGCTAAATTAAGATTTTTTACTACTGTAAAAGTTTCTATCAGCTAAATATCAGGGAGGTTCAAGAAGTTAAGTATCTATGGTGTTTTAAATGACTTATGAAACAAATACTTTACAGCTATTAAGACAACTTATTATTGCTTTTAAACATGTTGGATAAAACTACTTTTGGGTGGGGCAAGGGTAAGGTTTTGATGTTTTCTAGTGGGTTAAAATTTATATTTGAATCTCCATTCATACTTATATAGTTTATATATATTTATAGATCTTCGTGGTCAAGATGCATCACGGTGTTTTGGCTGCTTTTTTTGCAACAGACACTCTTCAGTATACTTTCATGACTGAAAATACTCAGATTTGAGTGGGTGGTGATGGAATTTTTTTGTGGAGAAATTTTGTTGTTTTAAGAACCAAATCTTCCTTTATGTGTATACTGCCTACTTAGGAAAATAGTCAGTTTAAATGAGTAGTCAGTTTTTAACAGGAAACATTAAACAAAAACAAAACCATTGCCATGAGGTCAATTCTGATGTATAGCAACCCTTTAGGACAGAGGAGAACTGCCCCGCAAAGTTTCTAAGGCTGAAATCTTTATGGAAGCAGACTGCCACATCTTTCTTCCATGGAACAGCTCCTGGATTTGAACTGTAGACTCTTCTGTTAGCAGACAACCATTTAACCACTGTGCCACTGATAGCAAACATAAGCAGTTTTAAGCCTGTTTACAGTGTTGCTACACTTCCATATAATAATGTGAATGTTCTGTAGAATTGTTACAGAGCATTTACAGATCTCTGGGTATCTGTGTTTGTGTTTTCAGTCAAATGGTTGGAGTGGAATACATCCTTTTACACGCTCAAGAGCCCATCCTTTTTATTATTCGGAAACAACAGCGGCAGTCTCCTACACAAGGTAAAATGTGTAAACTTCAGGCATTATTTTCTTCTTAAAATACCACAGTTTATTTACTTTCTGACCCATATGTTCTTATTTTTTGTTGGGTTCTGTTTGGGGCATCCCCAAAGCCGTATGTGCATGTTGGGTGCTTTACTGGAATGATTCACTGGACTGTGCATATAGTTGCACTGATATTTGTTATGGCAACACAGTAGGAATACACAGGCAAATTGACAAGGAAAAAGACATCCGGGGGGGTGGTCTGTAGGAGTTCTTACGCTGTCTCACCCATGAGGGACCTCACTAAGCATACCCTCTGTCAAAGGGGCAAGGTGGCTGCATCTTCTGACCTCCTCACCTCCTCTAACCCCACAAGAGGAAGACAGAATCACCATCAGTAACCCAAGACCTATTCCTGCGAGGCCAGACATGCTGCCTCCCTATTTAACCAAAAGCCTTACCTGAGTCATGTTACCAAATAAAAATTTGCTTTAGAAGTCAACAAGGATGAGTATAAAATCCACATTTGGTTTTAAATCAAAGAGCTGGACACCTATTTGAGACAAGTCTAGAACTTGAAGAGGCCTTAAAATCAAGCTAAGAGCATAATCAATATCACACTGAAGTGAAGATTCAAGGTAGAGAAGCCAGATACCTCGTTCCAATTAGATATTCTCATCAAGACATCTAGAGCAACCCTTGTCTTGTATTGATTCTAGAGAATGATTTGCTAAAGACAATGTGGTTCTAGAGTCAAGAATCCAAATTTAGTTTCAAAATCAAAGCCCTAGAGTCCCAGACAAAAAAGAACCATAAAATAAAGGCAAGACCAGGAACAAGATCTCTCCATGATGAGAGGATTCAAAGTGTACAAGTTACACAAGGTGGCATCGGCCTCACTAGCAACTGTCTTACTCCTTAAGAACAGAACTGAGGCACAGACAAGTTCACTGATCAGGTATCTTCATCCTGGGCCTCAAATCTCTTCATTCCTCCTAGAAATTGACCCTTTCTGTGGGCCTATAAGCCTATCTTTCTGGAGATGTTAAGTAATACACTCCAGGAATGAGATAGGCTAGAAGCATTACACAGCCCTACTGACCTAGCCTGGCTCCAGAGTTTAGCAGAGCTAACAGTGAAATATAAAATGAATAGACACATATATAAAAAAAATCAAAAACCAATTCCCATTCACGGTCAAGGGCTAGCCTTGCACAGGTTTGTTGCTAAATATGTATGAATGTTCTCTGTAATATATTTTTAGTTTCCCAAAACTATAGCCACTATGTGTGTCCTCAATTAAGTTAAAAGAAGGGAAACAGGGAAGTAGGAAGATTGATCTCCTCTTGTGGCAAAACTCTTTTGACTTTCAAGGCACAGATACTCTTATCATTAGAACCAATCATTAAAACGGCCAACAAGAATATATATTCTTCATATAAGGAAGTAGAAAGCTTGGTTCAAATGGATGCTTTAAAATACAAAATTATACTCTGCTTTTTTGTTTTTCTAAGGTTAGCTAGAACTAAACTTACTTAGTAGGTGTTTAGTCATCTTTTGGCATACTCACAGACTGTAGAAACATTTTCATCTAATCCACAGTTTCTTTTCAAAATGCATTGTGACCTGTGCTTAACTTTTTGTAAACCTGATACAGCTCTTTAAAAAACTTATTAATTAATGTATATTTTAAAATAACACAAATAGAGTAATTCTTAGAATTTTCTTGTATTTAAATAAGCATAGCCTTATTCTATCTCTGATACCATGTCAGCATTTTTCTGAAGACTGCTCTGCATCTTCTGCAACTGCATTTATTAATCATTATCTTTAACCACCTCGGAAGGAAGATGGGGCAATCTACTTCCATAGTGATACTGCCTGGGAAACCCAAGGAGGGGTCGCTATGAGTTGGGTCTGACTCGATGTCACACAACAACAACAACAACAACAACAATCTTTAGCCACAGTCTTTTTAAATAGCTGCTAATAAAATAACTTCAGAAGAAAAAAGTGACTGAAGCTAAATGTAAATGAGATAGTTTATGTCCAGTACTGTTATAGAAAAAAATGCACAGTAAAACAAGTAAAAGATATGACTGCTGTTCTCACCATCCATATTAGCATTACAAACTTACTGCCATCGAATCAATTTGACTCATAGCAACCCCTCCTTGGATTTCCGAGGCAATACCTCTACAGAAGTAGATTGCCCAGTGTTCCTTCCGAGAAGTGGCTGGGGAGTTTGAACCGCCAGGCTTCTGGTTAGCGGTCAAGTGCCTTAGGCACTCTGCCATCAGAGCTCCCCATATTAACATTGGCCAATAGAAATATAATGTGGTATATGTAAATTTAAATTTTTTAGCAGTCTCATTTTAAAAAGTGAAAAGAAAGGAGATTTGCATTGATACTTTATTTTTTCTAATATAAAAGTATTAATGAAATATTTTGCCTTCTTGTTTTGAAAGCTGGTGTGTTTGTTATATTTACAGCACACCTTGATTCAATCTAACCAGATTTCAAATGATCAGTAACCACAGGTGGCTAGTTGCTCCTGTATTGCACAACACAGTTCAGATGGTTAGGCAGAATGATTATCGTATGATTGGCCCTGGGGTATTATGTCAGGTTCTGGTTCCATACTTGAGGAGGGACACTGATAAACTAGAATGTACGGAGGGGAGCAGTCATGATGGGTGAGAGGTGTGGAATCTTCATGGAAAGTTATTGAGGGTTTGGGGATGTTAGCTTGCAGAAGCATGTACTTTCAGATGCAGTATGTCAGAGGTGATTGGTGAAAGACTTTATGGTAGAGTAACAGATCCAGGACCAGCAGATGGAAGTTAGAGTGTAGATTTAGACTTAATCTAAGGAAGCACTTGTAATAATTAGAGCTTTTCAACAGTATGCATCCTGTGGCTGCTTTTAAAAGTGAGTTTCCAATTCTGGAAGCAAACCTGTAGACAGGTAACTCTCTGTAAGAGATGGAGTAGAGAGTATTTCTTTGTGTAAGGAGATGGGCTTGATGATCTAAAAAAAAAAATGCCCTAACATTCCATAATTGATATGTAATTATTATAAAATAGTTACTAATACTAAATGCCTCACGTGTTTATAAGGAGCCCTGGTGATACAGTGGTTCAGTGTTCAACTGCTAACCAAAAAGCCAGCAGTTCAAACCCATCAGCCATTCTGTGGGAGAAAGATGTGGCAGTCAGCTTCCATAAAGTCTGCTATTCTGTCCTAAAGGGTTGCTTTGGATTAGAATTGACTCACAGCCCCAAAAAACCAAATCCAGTGCCATCAAGTCAACTCTGACTCATAGTGACCCTCCTAGCAATTCATAGTGACATAGTAGAACTGCTCAGAGGGTTTCTTAGGCTGTAAATCTTTGCAGAAGCAGACTGCCACATCTTCCTTCCATAGAGTGGCTGATGGGTTTGAACTGCCGACCTTTTGGTTAGCAGCTGAATGCTTTAACCACTATACACCAGAGCTCCTTCAACTTGATGGCAGTGGGTTTTTAATGTACTTATAGTAAGCATATTCATTTCATTTCATTTCATTTTCACTACTTACCTATGAAATTGGTGTTATTTCTATTTTACAGAAGAGATTGAGGCCCAGATAGTCCTCAGCTAGGGAAATAGAGAACTAAGTCTCTGAAAACCAAAACCAAACTCCCTGCCATCAAGTCAATTCCAACTCATCTAAAGATCCTTATTGTGTTTCCAAGGGTGTAAATCTTTATGGAAGCAGACTGCCTCATCTTCCTTCCATGGAACAGCTAGTAGGTTTGAACTACCGACCTTTTGATTAGCAGCCAAATAATGCCGTAACCACTATACCACCAGAATTCCTTAAGGGTCTAATCAGATTTTATTTTAAAATTCATGGTCCTAACCATTGAACTCTATTGCTTCAGTTCTCTAAATTAAGCTAAATTCCAAATCTATAAATGGTTCTCAAATGCCCTTGACTTTCTTAGGCTTTTGTGGATTAATCTCTCTAAATTGTTCCCTTCTCCCACCCTTCCTTGGTGTTTTCCACACTCATTTTACTCTTAGACTGCTTTCTGCCAACTTAAAAAGTTATCTTTCCTATAGACCCTTTGTGGTTTAACAGTAAAGTGTAACTACCCAGAACCCTGTAGATGAGTTATTTTAAAATAATTTCTTTGAGTCATTACTGTTGTTGTTATGTGCCGTCGAGTCAGCCCTGACTCGTAGCGACCCCTCCTTGGGTTTCCGAGGCAGTATCACTACGGAAGTAGGATTGCCCAACCTTCCTTCCAGTGGCTGCTGGGTTTGAACCGCCAGCCTGCTGGTTAGCAGTCAAGTGCCTTAGCCACTATGCTACCAGAGCTCCCTGAGTCATTACTAGTCACCTCCAAATAGACTGATTAATTTAGGAAAGCTGTTCCTTCCATAGGCGCTCTGGTAGTGTAGCACCTAAGACATTTGACTGCTAACCAGAAAGCTGGAGGTTCAAACCCACCAGCCACTCCTGGGAAGGAAGACCGGACTTCCTATTTCCGTAGAGGTACTGCCTTGGAAATTCAGGGAGGGGTCGCTATGAGTCGGATCCCACTTGATGGCAGTGAGTTTGGTTTTTTGTTTTTATTCCTTCCGTATTTGTGATAAGTAACTATATTTTCTTGTTACCAAAGGAACGAATCCTTATTGTAGAGTTTATAAAATAAAAAATATTAATCATTCCCAATTTATATGAAATACCAGTGCATCTAATTTACCTCTTAATTGTTCCTTCCCATTAATAGGATAATAAAATTAGAGATGACCACTATTGACATTTCACTAAGAAACTTTTTTCATTTGTTTGTGTATATACTTTTGTGTGGATTAAGAGCCAACTTTTTATTTTAATATTACTTTACAAGTATGTTCCCTTATCATTAAACATCTCTTAAAATTATTTTTAATGGCTTTATCATATCCATTCTGCAAATATTTTTCAAATGCTTACTGAGTACTTTCTCTGTATGGAGGACAAAGCAATGAAGAGTGTAGATTATGCCACTGTTCATACGGAGCTTACATTCTGTGACAGAAAATAAGCAAATACATAAATAAAACCACCCTACAAAGAATTAAAACGTTGTTGTTGTTAGGTGCTGTCAGGTCAGCTCCAACTTATAGTGACCCTATGTACAGCAGAATGAAACACTGCCTGGTCCTGTGTGAGCCTCACAGTCCTTGCTATACCCAAGTCCATCATTGCAGCCACTGTATCGATCCATCTCGTGGAGGGCCTTCCCCTTTTTCATTGACCCTGCACTTTACCAAGCATGTTTCCATGGAATGGTCCCTTCTGACAGCATAACCAAAGTGGGGTCAGATGAAGTTTGGCCTACCCATTCTCACTTTCAAGGAGCATTTGACTGTACTTCTTCTAGGACAGATTTGTTAATTCTTTTGGCAGTCCATGATACTTCCAGCATTCTTTGCCAACACCACAACTCAAAAGCATCAACTCTTTTCAATCTTCCTCATTCACTGTCCAGCTCTCACATGCATATATGCAATTGAAAATACCATGGCTTGAGTCAGGCACACCTCCAATTTTGAAGCCACGTTCTTCTTCATATAGTCCAGCTTCTCAGATTATTTGCTCAGCATACAAATTGAGTAAGTATGGTGAAAGGATACAAGCCTGACACACTCCAGTCCATGCAGTATCCCCTTGTTCTATTTGAACGACAGCCTCCTGGTCTATGTGCAAGTTCCTCATGAGCATACTGGAATTCCCATTCTTCTCATTGTTATCCATAATTTGTTATGATCCATACAGTCGAATGCTTTTGCATACTCAGTAAAACACAAGTAAACATCTTTCCTAGTATTTTTTGCTTTGAGCCAAGATCTGTCAGACATCAGTAATGATATTCCTTATTCCATGTCATCTTCTGAATCCAGCTTGCATTTCTGGAAGTTCTGTGTCAGTATACTGCTGCCACCATTTTTGAATTATCTTCAGCAAGATTTTATTTGGATGTAATATTAATGATATTGTTTGATAATTTCCACATTCTGTGGGATCACCTTTCTTTGAAATGGGTAAAAATATGGATCTCTTCCAGTCAGTTGGCCAGGTAGCTGTCTTCCATATTTCTTAGTATAGACAAGTGAGTGCCTCTAGTGGGCATCTGTTTGTTGAAACATCTCAATGGGTATTCCATCAATTTCTGGAGCCTTGTTCTTTGCCAGTTCCTTCAGTGCAGCTTCAACCTCTTCCTTCAGTGTCATGGGTTCTTGATCATATACCACCTCCTGAAATGGATGAACACTGACCAATTCTTTTTGGTATAGTGACGCTGTGTATTCCTTCCATCTTCTTTTGATGTTTCCTGCATCAGTCAATATTCTTCCCATAGAATCTTTCAATATTCCAACTTGAGGCTTGAATTTTTTCTTCAGTTCTTTCAGCTTGAGAAATGCCAAGCGTGTTCTTTGCTTTTGGTTATCTAACTCCAGGTCTTTGCACATTTCATTATAATTGGCTTTGTCTTTTTGAGCTGCTCTTTGAAATCTCCTGTTCAGGTCTTTCATCTTGTCATTTCTTCCATTTGCTTTAGCTACTGTCTGTTGAAGGGCAAGTTTCAGAGTCTCTTTTGACATCCATTTTGGTCTTTTCTTCCTTTCCTGTTTTTTTAACGGCCTTTTGCTTTCTTCATGGATGATGTTCTTGATGTATCCCATAGTTCCTCTGGTTTTTGGCCATTGGTGTTCAGTGCATCAAATCTGTTCTTTAGGTGTGGTCTAAATTCAAGAGGGATATAATCAAGGTCATATTTTGGCTCTCTTGGACTTGTTTTAATTGTCTTCGGCTTCAACTTGAACTTGCATATGAGCAGTTGATGGTCTGTTCCACAGTCAGCTCCTGGTCTTGCTATGGCTGAAGATAGCTTCTCTATTACCTCTTTCCATAGATATAGTCAGTCTGATTCCTGTGTACTCCATCTGGTGAAGTCTACATGTATAATTGCTGTTTATGATGTTGAAAAAAGGTATTTGCAGTGAATAAGTCATTGGTCTTGCAAAATTCTATCATGCAATCTCCAGCATTATTTCTATCACCGAGACCATATTTTCCAACTATTGGTGATTCTTGTTTGTTTACAACTTTTGCATTCTAATCACTAGTGATAATTAACACATCTTGATTACATGTTTGGTCAATTTCACACTCCAGAAGTGGTAAAAATCTTCGATTTCCTTGTCTTTGGCTTTTGTGGTTGGTGTGTAAATTTGAATAATAGTAGTATTAACTGGTCTTCCTTGTAGGCCTATGGACATTATCCTATCACTGACAGCATTGTACTTTAGGATAAATCTCTTTTTTTAATTTTTTATTGTGATAGGAGTGTTTTATAACAGTGTCTGAATGCAGTCTTTGGACTTTTTAAAATGCATTTATATGAGTAAAGTCCTTCTTTATCCATACACTTGTTTGTTAAAGCAAAGTTGCTTTACTGGCATAGAATTAAAAAGGACATTGTCATCTAAATTGACAACTTTATAACCGTTTTTTGTTCCTACTATTATTGACTAGTGTAATACTTAGTATTCCATTCTTTGTAGATTTTTGTACAATTTCATATATACATAATCATTGTGGCAAATAGCTAAATAGAGTCTGCTCTTTAAGAAATTTATAATTCAAGGCGAAGGGCAGGTTTTGGTACAGGTAAGTTCTCACATGTGTAGAATGAAGAGAAATTCTCTAAGGGTGATACTAACAAAGTGCTCTAAGGTCTTGCTCTGAAGAGTGTGGTTGGCTAGCAGCACTAGTATCACTTGTGAATTTGTCAGAAATGCACAATCCCTACTGAATAAGAATCTAATTTTAACAAGGTCTTCGAATGATTCAAATGTATCTTGAAGTTTGAGAAGTGCTACACTTGAGCAGGAGTTGGCTCACTTTTCCTGTGAAGGACAAGAGGGTAACTATTTTTTAGATTTTGTGAGTCAACTACTGAACTAGCACCAAAACAACCATAGATAATAGTAAATGAATGGGTGTGGCTGTGTTCCAATAAAACTATTTACAAAAACAAGCATTACCAAACCCTTCTCTAAGGTTTATTATGCAAGAATGTCAAATTTTAGTTAAGTCTTTTTAGCATTTTGTGTCCACAGCTTTATTGATAAACATTTTTCCCCACTGTTCTAGTTATCCCACTTGCTGATTACTATATCATTGCTGGAGTGATTTATCAGGCACCAGACTTGGGATCAGTTATAAATTCCAGAGTGGTAAGTGTCTTCCCATTAAGAAAACTTATCATTGAGCTACCTTATTCCAAGAAGCAAACAATAACTCCTCTTTTTTGTGTAAGTTGCTATAAAGTGTTGACTGAATGTGTTGGACACTGTTTATTGTGGGCCAGTTCAATGATAAAGGTATATACCACAATTCCAGGTAGGTAGCAGTTTAGTTCTAAAAAACAGGAAATTATTGTCTATGCATATGTACTATTTTGAGGGTATATACTGTGGAAATTTTGGTTAACCTAATGAGAAATTAAGGATTTGTTTTCTTTTTACAAGCTTACTGCAGTACATGGCATTCAGTCAGCTTTTGATGAAGCTATGTCATACTGTCGATACCATCCCTCCAAAGGGTATTGGTGGCATTTCAAAGATCATGAAGAGCAAGGTAGGTGAGATACCTAAAACTAAAAAGACCAAACCCACTGCTAGCAAGTCTGACTCACAGTGACTCTACAGGATAGCGTAGAACTGTCTCGTGATAAAAAAAAGCATGGCATCTTCTGACCTCCTCCAGTTTCACAAGGGAGAAGCAGAGTCACCATCAATAGTCCCAGGCTTATTATTCTTATGAGGCCAGACATACCACTACCCTCCAATCTTTTTACTAATTCTGATACCAGCCTTCCCTCCCACTTCACTCACTACTTCTCTGCTGGGTTCACTCACTACTTCTCTGCTGGGTTTGATAATCTGTTATGGTGGCCATAAAGAACTCACAGACAATGTATAGTATATAAGGAGAAGCCTTGGGGATAGTCTCTAGCTTATGGCACGCTTGGACCCTGCATGTAGCTGTGCCATTGTTCAGCAGCCTGCCATGCTCTGCTGACCTTGGAACTTTCAACGGACTTGAATTAATGGCCTGCCATGTGGTTTGGTCACATCGGGACTGTGCCTTTTTACTTGTCAACCTTGGGCTTGTCAGCCTCAGCAGCTAGCAGCTGTCTGAGTGAAGAAACGCCTCTATCTTCAGTGGGCCAGGAGAAGGAGGCAGAGCTGGACCCCAAGGTTGAGGGGCTTTCACTCAGCCCCTAGAGCCTGGCACTTTGAACTTGGACTTAAAGCCTCCAAACTCTATGAGAATAAGCTGTTTGTTTAGACCATCCCATTTGTGGTATATTCTTGTCAGAGCGGCACTAGGTAACCAGAACACTATCTCATTTAGGGTCTTCCTCTTTTTCACTGACCCTCTACTTTATCCAGCAAACTGTTCTTTTTCCAGGGACTGGTCTCTCCTGATATCCAAAGTACATGAGACAAAGTCTTGTCATCCTCACATCTGAGGGGTTTTATGGCCTTAGTTCTTTCAAGACAGATTTGTTTTTCTGGCAGTCCATGTATGCTCAGTATTTCAGTTCAGAGGCATCAATTCTTTGGTGATCCTTGTTCATTGTGCAGCTTTCTCGTGCATACGAGGAGATTGAAAAGTATGTACACTTGAGTATGGTAACTTGAGTTTGCAGAGATTGCATTTTCCATTTTTCTAGATTTTTTTTGAAAATACCATTTAACACAAATTATACAAAAGTGAATTTCAAACCAATAATCTGAATTGTGATTTTTAGGTAATTATGAGAAACCCCAGCCTTAAAACTCTGTCTATCTGTGCTTGCATACTGTAAGTAAAATGTCTTTAAAAGACATATATGTCAGTAAATTAAATATTAGAATATTAATTTTAAGAGGGAGAGTGTTCTGGTTACCTAGTGCTGCTCTGACAAGAATATACCACAAATGGGATGGCCTTAACAAACAGAAGTTTATTCTCTTAGAGTTTGGAGGTTTTAAGTCCGAGTTAAAAGTGCCAGGTTCTAGGGGCTGAGTGAAAGCCCCTCAACCTTGGGGTCCAGCTCTGCCTCCTGCTCCTGGCCCACTGGAGCTAGAGGCATTTCTTCACTCAGACAGCTGCTAGCTGCTGAGGCTGACAAGCCCAAGGTTGACAAGTAAAAAGGCACAGTCCTGATGTTAACAAACCACATGGCAGGCCATTAACTCAAGTCCATTGAAAGTCCCAAGGTCGACAGAGCATGGCAGGCTGCTGAACAATGACATAGCTACATACAGGGTTCAAGCGTGCCATAAGCTAGAGACCATTCCCAAAGCTGTTTATTATATATGGGAAGCAGCCCACATCCCTAAAGCAGCTACTCAGCTGCTTGTGGTAGGTCCCACCATGGAGTTGATTACCAGTCTCATCATGGGGAATAACTACCACCAGCTGCCCAGCCACTCACCCAGGCCCAGCCAAGTTGACACACAAGCTTAACCACCACAGAGGGTTAGACGTTTCTTATATGTGCTGTATTTAGCTTGTTTGGGAGAATAGCAGCCACTGAAAATAATTAGGTCTGCATATGTTAATGGTAGATAAAAGATTTGTAAAAATACGATATTAAACTAACCCTGCAGTGTTTTGATTTGGAACTCATGTTTTAATAGATAAAGTCAGACCTAAAGCCAAACGGAAAGAAGAGCCAAGCTCTATTTTCCAGAGACAGCGTGTGGATGCCTTACTCTTAGATCTTAGACAAAAATTTCCACCCAAGTTTGTGCAGGTAATGAGATTGTATATGCTTAAATTTCTGGTTGACATTTGTTGGGGAGCATGTTTATTCATTTTTAATTGAGAACTGTTTGAAGTGTGACCTGAACATTGACTCCCCTCGTTCGTTAAAAAATGATCTCTGAATCAAAGGCCAAGGAGAAAAGGTGTGAAGGGAATGGAATTAACACTTGCCGAATCTTCACAAACAATCCTATGAGGACTATATATAGATAATACTAGTCTTCAGAAAGGAGCTCTGGTGACACTATGGTTAAAAGGCATTGGGCTGCTAACTAGAAGGTAGGTGGTTCAAACCCAGCAGCTGCTCCATGGAAGGACGATGAAAGAATCTGCTTCCATAAAGATTTAGAGCCTTGGAAACCCAGTGGAGGTCGATACGAGTCGCATTCGACTCACTGGCAGTGGGTACTGGGTGAATCTTTCAAAACCTTGCCTGACAAACTAGAATATAAAACTTACGCTCTTTGTACTTTACTTGCTACCTTCTAGCTGAGGTTGTTATGTTGTTGTTATGTGCCGTCGAGTCGGCCCCGACTCATAGCGACCCCTCCTTGGGTTTCCGAGGCAGTATCACTACGGAAGTAGGATTGCCCAACCTTACTGAAATAAGACTATTTAAAGCTTTTTTAACAAAAAAGAGTAGAACATTTAAGGTAGAGGGTATAGTATGATAAATGAAGGAGTTAAGAGTAATAATAAATAAATGTAAGTTATATGGGTGTTTAAGTTATGTGAATTCCACTGCGTTCTTTTGAGGACAGTGTCCAGCAACAGTAGTGTATCCACGTGTCATTCTATTGAATGGACTTTTGAAGTCAAGTAGGTATGAGGTGAAATATGGAAATATGTTACTCTTATGGCTGTTTTCTGTTCTTAGAGACCTGTACATTGTGTGTACACACAGAATCACATATACTTTTTTGTTTGTTTTTTTCGAATAGCCTGTTTAAGGGGTTTTAAGCATGATTTTAGATAAAATGAGGATTTTGCGTATCTTGAGATACCTACTGAACAGGTCTCCTTACCCCTTCCCTGACTTCACTAGTAAGAGATACATACAATTGGAATGGCCATATGGTAGTGAAAAGAACAGAGGACACATACTGGAATTTAGGACAGGAGAGCCAGTTTAGAGAAGTCTCATGAATTGTACTTGAAGATGTGTGTTGAATAAATAAATTAATGAAGTATAGCCGTGTGCAGGATGATGAGTAACCACTATAGAGTGTAAGACATTAGGTGTGGTTGACTGTACATTCATTGAGTACATAGATATACTAGGTAGGCTGGGGAAAACCTGTGCTGTCCATTATAGTAACTGCTAGTCATACATGATTGTTGAACGTTTGAAACATGCCTAGTCCATGTTGAGTTGTGATACAAATGTAAAATCCATACTGGATTTCAGAGAGTACCAAAAAAAAAAAATAGTGTAAAATATCTCATGAACAATTTTTAAAACATTGATTATATGTTGAAATGATATTTTATATATATTTGGTTAAATAAAATATAATGCAATTATTAATCTCATCATTCTTTTTTTAAGTGACTACTCTAAAACCAGGAGCTCTGGTAGCATAGTGGCTAAAGCACTTGACTGCTAACCAGAAGGCTGGTGGTTCAAACCCACCAGCCACTCCTCGGAAGGAAGGTTGGGCAATCCTACTTCTGTAGTAATACTGCCTCGAAAACCCAAGGAGGGGTCGGCTATGAGTCGGGGCTGACTCGACGGCACATAACAACAACAACTCTAAAACCAAAGCAAACTCACTGCCGTTGAGTCAGTTCTGACTTATAGCACCCCCATTGACTTTCCAAGGCTGTAAATCTTTATGGAAGCAGACTGCCCCATCTTCCTTCCATGGAGCAGCTGGTGGGCTTGAACCACTAACCTTTTGATTAGCAGTCAAATGCCTTAACAACTACACCACCACAGCTCCTTAAATGACCACTAGAAAATTTAAAATTATATAAGTAACTTGCATTTGTAGTTCACATTTCTGTTTCTGTTGGAATAGAACAGATCTAGCCAGTAGGAATAGATTATGTAAAACCAGAAAATGAAAGAGCATGAGTGAACATTTGCTCAGAAACCAGACTAAACCAGTTTTAGTATGTGTTTATGGAGGGGAGGATTAATGGGATATGAGATTGGAAAGATGAATTAAGGTAAGATTGAGAAGGATTTTGCATGCTATGCAGAGGATTTTGAGTATAATCCTATAGGCTGCTATTTTTCACCTTTCAGAACCCACAACCCATTATTACCCTGATAAACAGAAGCTTCCGGCTTCATTCAGAATTATTTGAAATAATAAAACAGTTATCCCTAAAAGACATACTGAAGCAGCGGTAATTTTTGTATGTTCTTTTTCGTATACATAGTCTGGGAGGATACTGCAATATCCCCTAGCTCGTCATCCAGATGCTTAATCACTGAGAATTATTGCCGATGGCAGTGGGGACCCATTGGATGTTTCTAAGCAGTTTCAGGAGAGTAATGTAGTCAGGTTAGTACCTTAAGAAGATGACCTTTCCAGCAGTAGCAGTGTAGATGATGCTTAGGATATATGGACTTCGGAGTTAGAAAACTTAGATTTTGGAAAGCTGAAATTAATTCTGTGGCCTTAGGATAAAGAGGCAGATTCAAGAGATATTTGAGAGGTAAGGTCTCCTAAATTCAGTGATTGGATGTGGAGAGATTGGCAAAGATGATTTGGAAGTTGCAGGCCTAAAACTATACTAAGTATTGATATTGTTAAAGTTTCCAAATTTAGCTACACATTTAAGTTGCTATTTTCCCCATACTCATTTTCTTTTAACCATACAAGGGCCAAACTAACTCCCAAGAAAAGAGTATACCCAAAGCCGTGTAACACAAGGAGAAAAATGGCTTTCTCCAGAACTGGTATAATCCCTTTTTCCTCCTACCAAAACTTAATCTTCAGGCCTAGGGAAGGAAATAGTCTTGGTATACTTGAAGTCTCCCAGAACCACTCTTAACTGAAGCAGACTATTTGCCCATTATGTCTCCCGAACCACATGTAGCTCAGGACTTACTTTTGCTTATCCTTTGTACTTAACACTTGGGCTTTTGGTGCCTAAGAATTCATTGGGGAAGTCCTACCTGCTTCTTGGCAGCTCCTTTTTCCCTATTGTAATTCTTTTTACCACTTTTAAAGTTACATTAATATCAGCATGATGGGCGTTTAGGCCTTTAGGACCTTTTATGCTGAATAGCTTTTCAGTGTTAATTTCAGAAGTAGCTAGGTACTTTGCTAACTTTATTCCAGTGCCACCTGGGTAAATTTGGTCAGAAAGGCACCCCCATTCTTTATTCCTACCTAAAACCAAATTCTTATCTGTTTATCTGACAGTGTTCCTTTCACTAGAATTAAAGATTAGGGAGCGTGTATTGAATAGATAATACCATTATTCCTTTGTCAAGTAATATAATCCAGATGGTTCAGTACTAGCAGTGTAAGAATTTCCCCTCCCAAATTTCTCACCTTCCTCTAAGTGTTACTCCGTACATTTCCTGTCCTATTTCAAAGTAAGAAAAATTATTTGTTCCCTCAGGCTACTTCAGAAATGTTTGAGTCCTGCTGTGTTTACAAAATATGTCATGTGGCTGTGTCAGGGGTTCCCATGACTACCCTCATGTTTGGAGATTTTCTTTAAGGACTCACAGGACTCCACATAGAGTTGTGCTCATGACTAAGATTTATTACATTGCTATAGTAAGAATAAGCAGCTGAGTTGTAAGGGAAAACGACATAGGCAGAGTCTGGAGGAATCCATGTGAGGCTTCCTGGTGCTCTCTTAAGAGGAGTCACGCAGAGTGCAGTCCTTCCAAGCATGAAGATGTAGCACTAAATGTGTGGTCTTTCTATCAGAAGTCCATTAGTGACTGGGCACCCAAGGTTTTTTTTTTTTTATTTTGTCATGTCAGCAGCACTTTCTATCTAGCACATACCAAAATTTCACTTTCCCCAAAGGAAAGCAGGTATTTCATTGTACAAACAGTCCAGGCACAGCAGGCGACCCTTATCATTAGGGAACGGTGGGAACCTTCCTGAAATACAAGTTCCTATGTACCAACTAAGGGCCAACATTGCAAGCATACCTTTCTTGTTGAGGCATTATTTGTTTTCTTGTGAATTCATTTGGAGAGACTCTGTAAGTTCTGGAGTCGGGTTGGCTATAATCCTTACGGAAGCCACTTGCTAGGAATGGATCATCCACAGTGCCACTGGGTGGATTTGAACAGGTGATCTCTGGGTTACTAGCTGAGTGCAGACCATCTGTGCCACTCAGGGACCTTGTAAGCATACCTTTCCAAGAATAGCAACCTTAGGCCTTCATGTTACCCCTTTCCTGCACAGTGGCTATTAATATGGAGCTCAGTTTAGGTCATATTAAGTGTAAGGGTTTCTAGGACTCACAGAAGGCAGCTGGCGTCATGAATCTGGAAAGTGAGGTCAGAAAGTTTTATAGTCTTAAGTTATGAGAATATGCAAGAGAGCTTAGGGTGTGTGTGTAAATGTAGAAAGAAATTCAGAAAACAAGTGAAGGCATTAACCTTGGAAATGAGATTACTTCTTCTGAGATGCCAGGGAAGTATATAAAAGTATAATAAATTTGAAAGTAGATAGGAGGGAAGTTGGTGGCACTGGCCTTTGTTTTAAAATTTTGAATATTGGAAGCAGAGTCATCAGCTAAGAGTGAGGAGGGTAGGTTGTGAGAACATTGAACTTGGGTGATGGGAAAGGGACATGGCTGGGCCCAGCCAAGTAAAAGAACTGCTATACAGAGCAGAGGACTTGTCCTTGTTGCTGATCCTCAGTATCCCATCTTTTCCCCAGTTCGAGTTCCAGTACTACAGTCATCAGAAGCCTTACGCTTACAGGAGAACACACACACACAGCTTTCTTTACTTTTTATGCAAAAGTCAGAGACTGATTTAATCAAAAATTCATTTTCTCCTTTCTTATAGCTCATGACCTCTAAGCACGTTTGCTTCTGGAGTCTGGAAAGGCTCCATTATTCCCTCCCATTGGATTCTGTTTAACTGTTTTTTATAAACTATTATGGACTGAGTGAGGAGGTAAAGGGCTTTGTGCGGTTGACTGTTTTGTTCTAGTTTTAGATTGTGTCTACCCTAAGCCAGTAAGTAGGAGATGATAGATTTTAGGGTACATGAATACTGGTTCCTCTTTATGAGGTCATTTATAATGTAATTTGAATGAATGTATAATTTTAATAATTATTAAATTGAGAAATAAAAATGTGCTTGCCTGCCCTATTTTCTTCATCTTACTCTTCTTTCTTTGTTTTTAATTACAGCAAAAGTCTGGAGAAAAGCCTGTCCCAGGTATAATTCATCTGATATTCTATTAAACTTGACATAAGACCAACACCATGTTTAACTCAGTAACAGGCTGGACTCTGAGATGATCTGTGATCATTTGTCATCTTGGACTCCTACGTATAATTTGTCCTAACTTTTGAGATCTGCAAAAATGCCAAAACGTAGTGTTGTTGTGGTAGTGATGTTGATACTTACAAGCTGAATTGGAGTGGGAACAGTAGGTTTTGAGGAGGCTTGGAGAAGCCAAGGTGATTTAGGGTGGTTTTTAGTTCACAGCTCAGTGTGGGATAGAATAATTATGTTTTGTTTATACATAATGTCTTATTTAAGTGCTGTATGTCTTTGTCCAATATCACAAATTTCCTTGGGTTATCAGTTTTCGTATGTTTATAAATGAGTTCTTAAATACGTATACCTAATGAAACAGCTGAATTTAGAAGTTAAAATAAGCAGTTAAAAATGAATTTGAAAGAGTCTGAACCATTCAGATTAACTGTCATCTAAGTTTTATCTCATTCCTCTACCCTCATTCTCTTACAAAAAAAAAATCCTGCTTTTAACATCCAGTGGATCAGACAAAGAAAGAAGCAGAACCTACACCAGAAGCTGGGAAATCGGAGGAGAAAGAGACCACAAAGAATGTCCAACAGACAGTGAGCACAAAAGCTCCCCCTGAGAAACGGATGAGACTCCAGTGAGGGTCTGCCACAGAGAAGCTTACAAGGTTCTTCTTGTCCACTATCATACCTCATTGCTGTGACAGGCTCTTTAAACATACAACCCCTGCTTTTTTATGGAATATGCTTATTTTTAAAGAAGAGATGTTACTCCTGTCATGTTTTCTGAATGAACATTTCTCTTACGTCTTTTGTAACCCTTCCGGTACTGGACTTGATCACCCTGCCCACTCACGTTGTATATTAGGATATATATATTTAAAAACAATAAAGGCATTTGTATATATTACTTTGTCATGGATTTTTTCCTCCTTGCTGCTCTTTTTGAAATTTTTCAAGCTGTACTTCATGAACACATAGATTAATATTAAAGTAATAAATTAGTTTATTTTCTTTTAAATAAATATATATTCCTTATTATTAAAATAAAAAACAGCTACTGACAATTTGGAAGATAAGGAAAAGGAAAAGTGCATCCACCAATGCCATCACCCTATAAATGCTGTAACAGTGTTATAAATTTTTACTCTTCTTTTTCTATAGTTTGTGATTATTGTGTTCATACAGTTTTCCTTTACCATGTTATAATATTTGTTGTAAGCATTTCCTCCTGTTTACATAGTTTTTTATAGACCATCTGTTTCAGTGACTGAATAATTTCTGTTCATGATTATATCACAGTTTTCTTAACCTTTTCCTGTAGTATATTAATTTTTTTTCCATTCTATATTATTTTAAGTAAAGCCACAGTGATTATTATATTTACTTACAATGCTTTTTCAATATTTAGTATTTATTTCCTTAGGATAGAATCAAGAAGTAGAATCACTAGAGTCTGTACATTTTTATTGCTCTTAGTCCATTTTGCCGAGTTGCCTCAAGCATAACATTCGGACCAGCTGCCACTCTAATAGCACACTGAAAGTCCCACGCTCTCTGGAACCTCACTGCCGCTGAGGGCCGCCATTTCTGTTTTCCATGCTAATTAATGAGCAGAAAAGGAGCTCTAGTAGCATAGTGCCTAAGTCACTTGACTGCTAACCAGAAGGCTGGCGGTTCAAACCCCCCAGCCACTCCTCGGAAGGAAGGTTGGGCAATCTACTTC